AGCCGGCTGCGGCGGCAGCTGGAGTCGGGGGGTTTCGCGGCGGGGGAGTACGTGAAACAACTGTCGCAGCAGTCGGACGGAGACCGGGACCTGCAGGAGCACCGGCAGCGCATCCAGGCGCTGAGCGAGGAGACGGCCCAGAGCCTGAAGCGCAACGTTTACCAGAACTACCGGCAGTTCATCGAGACGGCGCGGGAGATCAGCTACCTGGAGAGCGAGATGTACCAGCTCAGCCACATCCTCACCGAGCAGAAGGGCATCATGGAGGCCGTCACCCAGGCCCTGCTCCTCCAGGCCGACCGCGACGACCCCGCCCTGGGCGCCCGCCGTGCCGCCGCCGACCCCTTCCTACCGCTGTCGGCCAAGGAGGCGGCGGCCAGCGAAGAGGGCCGGCAGCGCACGCTCACCACCCTCCTGGAGAAGGTGGAGGGTTGCCGCGACCTCCTGCCCGAGAGCCCCGGCAAGTACCTGGTCTACAACGGCGACCTGGTGGAGTACGACGCCGACCACATGGCGCAGATCCAGCGGGTGCACGCCTTCCTCATGAACGACTGCCTGCTGGTGGCCACCGCCCTGCCCAACCGCCGCGGCGCCTACCGCTACGATGCCCTCTACCCCCTCGACGGGCTGGCTGTGGTCAACGTCAAGGACAACCCCCCCATGAAGGACATGTTCAAGCTGCTCATGTTCCCCGAGAGCCGCATCTTCCAGGCCGAGAACGCCAAGATCAAGAAGGAGTGGCTGGAGGTGCTGGAGGAGACCAAGCGCAACCGGGCCCTCAGCGAGAAGCGACGCCTGGAGCAGGAGGCCCTGCCCCGGCCTGCCCCGACGCCCCCCAAATCCACCAACCCCTTCGAGGAGGATGATGAGGAGGAGGAGGAAGAAGAGCCCTCTGCTGAGGAGGAGGTGGTCGACCTCTCACTTGAGTGGATCCAGGAGCTGCCTGAGGACCTGGACGTCTGCATCGCTCAGCGGGACTTCGAGGGGGCGGTGGACCTCTTGGACAAACTCAACGAGTACCTTGGGGACAAGCCTGTGAGCCAGCCCGTGAAGGAGCTGCGGGCCAAGGTGGATGAGCGGGTCCGGCAGCTTACAGACGTGCTGGTGTTTGAGCTGTCTCCAGACCGCTCGCTGCGGGGAGGGCCGCGGGCCACCCGCCGAGCCGTGTCCCAGCTCATTCGCTTGGGCCAGTCCACCAAGGCGTGTGAGCTCTTCCTGAAGAACCGGGCGGCCGCGGTTCAGACGGCCATCCGACAGCTGCGCATCGAGGGTGCTACGCTGCTTTACATCCACAAGCTCTGCCACGTCTTCTTCACCAGCCTCCTAGAGACGGCGAGAGAGTTTGAGACGGACTTCGCTGGCAACAACGGCTGCTACTCGGCCTTCGTTGTTTGGGCCCGCTCTTCCATGAGGATGTTTGTAGATGCCTTCAGTAAGCAAGTATTTGATAGTAAAGAGAGTTTGTCAACTGCAGCAGAGTGCGTCAAGGTAAGAGGGCCCAAAGAGGGTGGTGCGACATGATAGCCGAAACAAAGGCTGCAAAGCTTGTAAATCCTCTTTTCTAGCCCTAGTTTAGTTGTTGACTCTTGAGTGGGTCTCCAGAGAGGTTTCCTGCATTGAAAGGTTAATATTTGTTTGGGGTTGGGTTTTTTTTTGTCAGTTTAACAGGGGGAAGCATTAAGATCATAGAACCACGGGATGGTTTGGGTTGGAAGGGACCTTGAAGATCACCTAGTTCCAACCCCCCTGCCATGGACGGGGACACCTTCCACTAGACCAGGTTGCTCAAAGCCCCATCCAGCCTGGCCTTGAGCACTTACAAGGATGGGGCATCCACAGCTTCTCTGGGCAATCTGTTCCAGTGTCTCACAGTGCAAGAATGAAAGATGAAAATATACAGCAAGAAAAACCTTGCCTTTATCAGAAATGCAAAATGTGTTTATTCTTAATTTGCCTTTAACCAGTAGGAGGTCCTAGAATTTACATAAGCTGTATCTGAACAATGAGTATTTGAAGACTTGTTGTTTGTTTTCCAAGCCTGTCCTGGACTACATTTCCATAATTTTTTGCAAGACTAGATTTCTGAGGTTATGGTTTCTTTCAGCTGGTAACAGGGAGAGAAAAAAAAAAAAGAAAAAAAAAAGCGTGTGGGCTGTAATGTGATTGTCCAGAGTATTTTTGACAAGCAGAGTTTTTCTTTCAGTTATTAATTTCTCATTAATAAGGAATTTCTTAAAGCAGGAGAAACAAGTGAAGTATGACTAACACTTCCCCGTTTTCTGAGAGTGATGAGTTTGGTCAATGTGTAAGATGTAAAGGGAACCTGCACACTAGTAACACCCTTCACTTTTCGTTAATACCCAAGGTAGCTAAGGAGCACTGCAAGCAGCTTAGCGAGATTGGACTGGATCTCACCTTCATCATTCATGCCCTTCTGGTAAAGGATATCAAAGGTGCTTTACAGAGCTACAAGGATATCATCATCGAGGCCACCAAGCACCGCAATTCTGAGGAGATGTGGAGAAGGATGAACCTAATGACTCCAGAGGCGCTGGGGAAACTCAGGGAGGAGATGAGGAGCTGCGGGGTAGGCAATTTTGACCAATACACAGGTGATGACTGCTGGGTGAACCTTAGCTATACTGTAGTAGCTTTCACCAAGCAGACTATGGCCTTCTTGGAGGAAGCATTAAAGCTTTACTTTCCAGAGCTGCATATGGTTCTTTTGGAGAGTCTTGTGGAAATCATCCTGGTGGCTGTCCAGCATGTTGATTACAGTTTACGATGTGAACAGGACCCTGAGAAAAAAGCATTCATTAGGCAGAATGCGTCCTTCCTGTATGAAACTGTCCTTCCTGTTGTGGAAAAAAGGTTTGAGGAAGGAGTTGGAAAGCCAGCCAAGCAGCTACAGGATCTGAGAAATGCTTCAAGATTGATGCGTGTAAATCCGGAAAGTACCACTTCGGTGGTGTGAAGTGACCTAACTGTTCTTACGAACAGAGTGTGAAAGCACTTACTGAAAATGTTGTACATTGAATATATGAACTAAATGTTTTTTCTGAGTCCCTGAAAAATGCAGAAGTCTAACTGCTGCATTCCAGAAGCTGAAGACTTAGAATCAAAGCCTGCAAGGATGGAACGCTTTTTTTGGTGGATGGGGTAGGGGAGCGAGAAGTAAGGTCGCGGTCACGTGTCCTTGGACGGCATATCTTGTAAGAATGGCTTGTGTAGTCTTTGTGACTTGAGAAATACTGTAACAAACAATTTTTGGCCAAATGTTTGTGAAAGTCTTAAATATATGTACACCGTATGGCAGGAAAAGATCACTTCTCATCACGCCACAGTAGGAATTCTTTTTTTAAGGCAGTGTTCTGGTAGGAGGGGAAGTGCTGAAATGCTCCCAGGGTGTGGTATTCGGTAAGGCATGTCTACCATCCAGATGTGACTCAGCACTGCAGATAAACAACATGGATTTGCACAGTCTGATTTGTTTGGTAGCAATGCAGACTCTTAAGTTTCTCCAACATTCAAATTCTCTATTCATTTCAGAGGCAGATCTAAATTTAAAATGTGTTTTGTATAGTTTTTTCTGTTTGGGTGAAGCAGCTTCTTCTGTTTAATAAGCTGGCTGTCGGCTTAAATTACAGCTCTCTGAAAGCAAACCTTCTGCTGTCAGAAACATTTATTCCCTTCAGAGGAGAAGTGAGAATAACTCTTCCCTTCCCCTTTGTGTTCCCCTTCCTTGTTTTCTCATGGACTTCATTGGGGTCAAGTCTATTTGATGAAGCGTGCACTCTTGCTTGAGGTGCTGTCATAAATGCATTACAGGCCATTACCTACTGGTAGAAACCATAGCGAAGAGGCATAAATGCTCTTGAGATGTGCAGGGCAGGGAGAGGGTCTGAAGGTGCTGTTTCATTTGGAAGAAACAGAATGCTAGTTTTGCTGTACAGAAACAGCACAGGATGAAGACACTGGGTGTGAGGCTTTTTGTAAATTATGTGATCTTCAAAATTCACACTCTGTCTCTCCTGCAAATATTGGTATCTTTTCCTGTAACACAGCAATAACCAAGAAGAACTATCTTTTTTTGCAGAAAGCACAAGGACTGTATTTGGTTGGGAATGCTAATGTAGATGGGAGAAGTTTATGCAGATGCCTGTATGTTTAGATTGAATGGTGATGGCTATCTCGTTCAGTATGTGTCTCTGAAAATAAAATAGGCAGTGTCTTGTGTAAAGGCTGGCTTTAGAGCGCTGTCAGCATCACCTTCTAAGCTGTGTAAACTTCTCCCCCTTTAGTGCAGACTTCTTAGTTGTGAGAAAATCATGTTATGGCTAAGTCACCATGTATTAGACTCTGAATAAGTGTTCTTAACTGGAATAATTGAGTATCCTATTCCTCTTGCACTTTAAAATGAAAGCTTTTGCAATTTGTATCATGGTAATGAATGCTTTGTGACTGCCTGAACAAAGAAAAGATATCGCTAGTAAAACACTCTGCATAACTGCTTATACTGGAGCTTCTTTGTTTCTCCCTATTTTCACAGTGCTAGTTCAATGCAGTTTTCACTTTAGTGGCTAGTTTCCGTTCTCTTGCTCTTGGGATGCCTTTTGAACTGTCGGATTTTGCAAAGCATCCTACTGTCTCTGCTCACTTGCTTTCCAGTGTTTGGGTCTTTTGCTAGCAAATCACGGAAGAAAACCATACAAAATGGTTTTAAAGGGTAACTCATTGCTCTTAGCTAAAACTGATTGAAAACCACTGAAATAGCTATAGTTTTATTTTAAGGGACAGGGAGAGTTAGAGCTTCTGTGAACATGTTACATCCAAGAGAGAGCCACACAGGTGTTATTTCACTAGTGAACTATTTTTGATACCAGAACCTAGTGAAGTGTATCAAAGGAATATAGTCTGTATCACCTGTTTAAAGTGGGCAAAGGTAGTAACCTGGCCTTACTTTAAAGTGGATTATAAATGAGAGCTGTCCATGATAATAGGTATTTTGGAGGAGGGAGAGAAGGGAGGGCTTTTTTTCTCTGAAGACAGGTATATTTTATTGTTTTCTTTACAGCAGAAGAAAGCAGAATAAATACAGATGAGCCTTATGTAATTTTTTTCTTTTTTTTCTGTGCAAGAGCAGGGTAAACTGTAGGACTGTAGCTCGTGGCTCTGATTATTGTGATGCTTGAGGATTTTGTGTAAGAAGCTGAGTTGTAGTTTCCCAATTCCCAGCTCTGGCAGAAGATTGAATAGGGGGAGAGCCCTGTTCGTGCTTCTGTTGCAAGCTGGCGTAGCTCATCTTCATCCTCGTCAGAGGATGAAATGTAGAATGTAATTCTGCCCTGTGTTCTGCTATGCTTCTGTCACCGCTCCCTTCATCAATCTATTTACGGCATGTGGTGCCTACTGGTTTTGGCTCTGCCGTCATCCATGGAGCAGCGGGCTTACGTGGATGTCGGTTTTAATGGATCGGGGAATCTGGCCTTTTGTTTGGGTGATCAAATATCACGGTCGTGTGCCCGTCACAATTCAAACAGGTGTGGATTTGTATAAACTGCTGCAGGTAGCATTGATATTTTGTAACTTGTGAATCTATTCAAGTCATAATAAAAGACAAACTAACTTAAGGAAAATGATGTGCAATTAAGTTAAACACGCTTTGGGTGTTAATTCAGTTAACAGAAAAAGTCAACATGTGCTGAGAGTCATGGTTTAATAAATTTCAGATTTGCAGACAGTAATTTGGAATGGCACTTTTCTTTTCCTGAGCTGTACACTTGTGGGGATAGCGTTGTTCAAGTTGGAATTTGCAGTAACTACTGAATAATATGATAGCAGTTTTGTTGATTTGGGGAAAAACTAGTCATAATTTTTTTTTGTTTTGAGACAATTGCATATAAAATCTGGTTTCCTTTAGCTGCTATGACAAAATTGTGATGTGTAAATTGAAGATATTTTTTTTTTTAATTCAGATGAATTTCTGTATTAGAATTTAATGCAATAACTTTTCTGAACAGTGAGGATCATGTATTAAAACTTTTGGACATACAACACTAGTGGTGTATTTCTGTTTTTATTACATCATCATCAGAAAGAGGATGTTGGTTCAAATTTCAAGTCCACTGATAAATTTCCAGTGAAGTCAAAGAGCTTTAGGTCAGTTGTTTGTGAGGGAGACATAAGAGGCAGCCAGGCAATGAAAGCCAAGTGATGTCACTTCAGTTACGTTCTTACAAAGTCAGCGTGTGGCTTAATAAGGTGAAGTTGGAAGAAAATGTTTGTCAGCATTGTACCCGATTCAAATCGAGGAGAGGCTGTACTCTAGGCTAATAGGACTTTGGGTGAGTAGGTATGTGAGGTACTATTAACACCAGGGTAACCAGCATAATGCTGTAGGGTTTGTCACCTTCCAGAGATTATTTTGTCACTGGAGTCCATTCATGCTTGAATGGTGAATGTGCAGTACAGTCCATCTCCTCACTAGGTGGAGTTCTGTCCATTGAAACCTCCGTATGCTCTGGGCAGGCACAGGCATTAAAGCTGTGCTACCCAGCAGCGTGGCTTGGGATGTTTTTGTAGCACATTGGGGAATGAAGATGCTGCGCCAAATGATTCGGATGTTAGGGCCAACTCTTTTTCTGTCCTTGATAGTGCTTTTCTTCTGCATTTTTCTAATTTTTGTACTGTTAATTTCTTAATTCTCTGTGTTTTCCTTTCCTGCTGTGTTTCTGTACCATAGGTAGGCATCCTGCAGAAGATCTCAGCTTTCTACTTTTTCTAAAGGTATGTACCAACATGTGCCTTTTGTTCTGCCGGAGAGACACTCTGCTAGACTGCAAGACCTTGCAGACATGTGGAAATTGGCTTGTCCCAGCTTCAGCTGTCTCATGTAAGATGTTCAGCTTAATGACTTCTCAAAGCCAAGCTGAGTGACCTCTTGTCATTTTACTTCAATATTGGGCTGAAATTCCACTGAGAGCTTGTGCTCATAATGCAGCTTTGCACACCAGCACAATAATGCAGAAGATCCCCAGCACCAATCTTTGTAACTTAGACACTCTTTACATTCTCTTTGCTGCACAACTCTTATGTTTTAATTGGATTACCTTTTACTTAAAAATATTAGTATTTCTGCAAACTCCCTGTGTGTTTTCTCTGAAGAAAATAAAATCCAGAATGGGGCTTATCTGTCAGGGAGCTTTGTAAGCATAGCCTATAGACACATCTTTTTCCTCAGAGGTTCAAGAGCTGCGTGTATTGGGTTTGCGTGGCAAGGTTTTGGTACCGGGGGGGGGGTTACAGGGG